TGGAGTGGAAGGAAACACAATGGAAAGGGCAGGATTTGGTATAAGCCAGGAAATCCAGTTTCTTGGGGAAACCATGGGGCAGGACAAATCTCACATGATTTCAGAATTCTCATGCAAAATTTTATCAAATGTTTGTGGGTAAGATTGCCATCATCTTGTAAGACTTGGCCCATTTCTTTAAGTTACCTTTTTATGGGAGGGTCTTGCTTAGAGTTGTGGAAATGGGCTGTATCTAGGTGAGTTGTAGAAAGTTCAGAGAGCCCCTTTATACTTGTTCTTCCCAGCAAGGAGAATATAGGTCATGTATTACATGCATCTTGAGTTATATTGTAATAATTCTTAAAGATATGTAGTGGTTGGCTTTCTCTTGAGTAGCTCATAGAGGCTAAGCAATGCCCCTTCCTTACATGTACAATTCAACTAGATGAGGACTGGTTTTTATCTGCCTCATGCTCTCAACAGCAGTTTAAAGAAAAGTAGAAAACTATCTTCTGCAGTCTTACAGAAAATAACTTTCATTAAGTAAAAGCAGGCTATTATCAAATCCCAAATTAACATTTGCTATGTAAATGACATGCATTGCTGATCAGTAGCTAGAATAAAACAACTGGGAAACCCAAAATCAGCCATGAGGGAACATCCTTGTTGAGCTTGGTTCTAACTGAGCACCAGAAGGGGACATAACAGGTGTAGAGTAAGTTGGAAGCCTGCCCAGAACACTTGTTCAGAAACAGCTCATCTGTTCTGTTTCTTCCTTATTCAGCACAAGACTTATAGAAGGTTTTTCTAGTACAGAATGGGGAGCCATGTGTGTTTTGCTAATAATTTTTCCTCAACATTTCTTGCCTTCCCTTGCTCCATGTGACTGTGCCAAGCTCTGTAGTATGATACAAAGCTTAAAGGTACGCTTTGCTTAATTAGCCCCAGTTTGCTAGCTGCGGCCCCATCACAATTGTAGATACGTTAATAAGCCATTCAAAGATGGAGGATTTATTTAGGCTTCTAGTCTGTGGAACTCTTTAGGTGCTATCCTTTCCCTACACTCTTGAGACTGAATACCAAACATGCAGAGATTTGCATTGTTAGGATATATTCTGACTGCAGCTTTTCATTTTCCCTGAGGGTTGTGGCTATAAATATGTGCACCTAGCAAGGTTATAGTCATAACAGTGGAAGACCGGCCCTGTATAACTGGCCCTTTCTTCATCCTTGCTAGCATGGAAAAGGGCATTGGAGCATCTCTGTTGAGCTTTCTGTAAGATTTTCAGCATTCGCAGTTCATGTGACACTTACCTGTACTGTTTTCTTGAAATTCTTTTGTGGGTTGAATTTGTTTGTCATTCATTTACACACACACACACATACTCACACATATAATACACATCTATTACATTTTGTAGAGAGCCAAGGAGATGACTTTGGAGAAAGAATCCAGAGGCATTGGAGGAATACCCGGTACAGAAGAAACAGGTGTTAATTCTAGACAGACCAGAGAGATGCAGACTAGCCTCCCCTCCCTTCCCACTCCCTTGGTTATAAGAGGGAGGGACAAACTTGCAAGATTCTGTTACTGTAGCTCCCAGTGGAGTCTGCTTCCTGATCTGGTCTACCTTGAAGGGCTGACACATTTATACCCCACCACCGTTGTACACAGACTCTTGGTGGCTCATAGCATAAAAGAAAAACAACAATAACAGTAAAATATGAGACATAAAACTGACAATCGAAATAGACAAACCTAAGTCCAAGAGGCGTCTGGTGTCAGGCCCCAAACACTCTCCGAAAAGCTCAATTTTAAGAAGCTTCCAGAAGGCTACCAGAGTTGAGGCCAAATGCATTTCTTGCAGGAGGCCATTTCAGCAGCTCAGGCCAGTAACAGAAATATACCTCCAGGCCTTGGCCTCGCAACCTCCCCAGAATGGGACACAACTAGCTGTTTCTCTTGGCATGATCAAAGTGGTCGGGCTGATTCCAGTGATGTGGCCTGCAGATCACACTATCAATAATTGATAGAAACTTGCAAAATTCAAGAAAATTTAAAAAAAAATAGTAAAAAAATGTTAGTAGAACAATGAGCATTCTGAATGAGGGCATTATATATGTATTTATAGGAAAGGGGGGAGAGAGAGTTCCTACAGCTGGGGACTTCACTGAGGCAAGTAGAAATATTTTTTCAATTTAGACAGCATGCATCCTCTCTGACCAAGCTTCCAACAATTTAAGGCCTCCCTGTCAGATTAGTACAGTACAAGCTTTCTTGAGCGTTTCACGGAGTGAAGAGTGATTGTGGTGTAAACATGCTGCCTTTCTTCAGCTTCATTGCCACCACAGAAGCTGGAACATCTGGAGGAAAGTTCCAGTATATAAAAAGAAGCAGTTTTGGGTAGTGGGGAAGGTGCTGGACTAGAAACCAGCAGACTGTGGATTCTAATCCTCAAACCAATCCACCTCACAAGGCTGTTGTGGGGAAAATAGAAGGTGAGAGCATTATGTAGACTGCCTTGAGCTATACAGTACTAAATAAAGATGGGGCATAATAATTTCTAGTGCCAGAAAATCAAAATGAGGAAATGTACAATCATTTATAATTTTTGTTTCAAACTTCTTAAAATTTTTATTCCTCAATAGTTGGAATAAGCATTAACAGACTATTCTCCCATAGCTGTTTAATACAAGTTAATCATCATTAAGTGTTAGCTCAGCTTTTCTCAGTCAGATCCTCTTGTGTTGATAAGCTTTGTTTTTCCCCAGCTTTTGCAGGTATACAGTAACTGTATTTTGATATTATGATTTTATTAACTAAAATTAGGTTCTATTACTAGTAATCAAATTGAATTCAAAGGTCTTGTTAAGGATTCCAAAAGATACACTGGATTTCTCTTATGTAGAGTTCCACTCCAGGACATTCTCACTGGAAGAACTAGTGGGAAATTAAAATTGTCCTGCATCCTTCCCCTGTGTCCCTTGACATTCTGCTCCTGAAGGCTGTAAGTTCTCCAGAACACCCATGAAGGAGTGCTGGGAGCTGCAGGGGAAAGTGGAATCTGTGAGGATAACTTCTTCTTCTTCTAGCTGGATCTCTACTGGGTTAGTGACCTTTTTGTGAAGAAAATGCTTTGAGTTATGGGAGAGCATATTTGAGTCCAACTCTGTATTTGTCCAATTTGTTTGTACACATGATCAACTTGAATTTATTCCTTCATATACTTTCACTTGTTGCTTATATGAAGATAAGTGTGGCAATACACATTTCAGCAGTGTGAGAAGGAAGTGTTTACTCTAAAGAGGTGTATATTAATGTTATTCCCCTTTGTTTATCTGAATTTATTCCTCGATAGTAGTTAGGTGCCATGACATATCAAAGGTGTGGTTTTTCTCAGAAATTATAATTAACTTGTAATTATAACTTATTGGCTTGACTAGCATATGTCTTATCTTGAATTAGAGGCTATAAGTCTCTTTTGGTTTGCGTTCAGAGATCACCTGGGGTAAAACTCACACTTGGGCAGAAGGCCAGTGAAAGGCTGCCTATCAGATTGCACTTGAGAGCTGTATGTAAGTCTTGTGCCCGGGCACTAGGCTGATCAGGAATATCTTCTGGAAAATGTGCTGCATGAATGGGCAGCTTGCCCAGTTATTTATCCCATGAAAGATAAGAGCCTTTCTCTGTAGGGTGTGGCGAAGAAGCAACAGACAGGAACTGCTGCCAGCAGACATGACTGAGTATGTGAGCTTCCTGTTTTTTGGCTTCCAGTAACCATTTCATGAGCAGTCCTCTAAACTCAGAGAGATCAGACATCATTTCAGCACTTCTGGAATAGCCCTCTTAATGCAAGCAATACATTGAAAGCCCTCAGATAATTAGAAGAGTCACAGAATGGGTGTCCACTTATGTAGAACTTTCATAAAGCTATAGACATGGAAGAAGTTCTCCTGCTTTCATCTGCTGATTTTTTTCACAATACCCATATATATCTACTCAAATGCAGGCAATTTCCCCTACATATGATTCTCAATTTCTCCATCTTCAGTTTATAGGTTATATATATAGGGATATGCTTTTAATCTCTCTGGGCATCTACAGCTCCTGATTATGGAGAAGGTAGTTCATAGTTTGTACACAAATGTATGTCTGCATAGGACCAATATATAACAGCTTGATCAGGATTATGTCATTGCCATGTCATCTTCCATTAGTGAGAAATATAGTAGCATGTTTTAAAAATAAATATTGGTAAAAATGAATGCTTGCACTATCATTACTAAAATTAGATGTCTTGTTTCAGTGTTGACCATTGAACACTAGGCCAAAATATGATTGCTTTGTTTGGGATTTAGTGAGTTCTGTGCACCTATCCAATTCTGGCTTATCCAACAAGTCATGGTTAAGCAAAATGTAGCTTAACACACTTTGCCTGATTTAAAACTTAAATAATGAAGCCTGAAACATACTGGGACTTCTGAACATACTTTTTATAGGATTGCCCTGTACATTAACAACAGTGCAAATGGGAGATGAGTGGGCCAGGGTAATATTTTACATAGTGTGCAGTAAATTTTCAGTTAGGTTTAGAAGGATTACTTTTTCCTGCAGAAATGGTTTTCTTGATTTTTTTTTTTAAGGTTAACTTTCATGATGGAAGAATGGGTTTTTGATTTCATGAAGAATCTGTTGAGTTTGGCAAAAAGATGGGAATGAGTTTCTTTATTTTTAATTCTTGTAATTTCAGTAGTAACGTGTGCATGAAATGTAATAACGATGATGAAATGTAGATTTGCAACAGGGTGGGGTTTTGTGGGTAGCATTAGACCTGAATAATTATGACTTCAATAACTTCAAGAGATGGAACAGTCTTTTGAATACAGTAGAGTTGCTCAAGTACCTATAAACTCATAATTAGTTTCTGTGTACTTCAACATATGTTTGTTCTCATGTTTTATAAGAATTATCAGGGTTGGTCTAATAAGACCGTTTCCTCAACCTCCACCCCAACTTTTAGGCAAGTGTTTCCAAATGGGTTCCCAGAGGAATACTTCTTAACAGCTACATTTCGTGTCAGAAGAAACAGCAAAAGAGAACGCTGGTATTTACTGCAGATTTTAGATCAGCATAACTTGCCACAGGTGAGAACAAATTTAGTTACTTGTTACTGTTATTTCTTTGTCTAATTTGTGTTTGTTCAGTTGTTTCCTATTCCCACCCCCAATAAAATGATAGCTACAGGTTTGTGAGAGTGGCTGAGGGGCTGCAACAGGAAGGAGAAGGTGATTCTAAAGATCTCTGGCATGTACTGACTTCTATGATTTTATTCTCTTCTTTGCTAATTTACCGTTTATTCATTTTGAAAGTGCTTAACTTTGTATATGTATATATTTTTGTTCAGGCTTACATCTCAGTTGATGGTTTAAAAAGAGTTATAGAGTACGCCATGCAATCCACCCAGCGGAACTCCTTGCACTACGTCTTTAAAAGCCGCAAAATCTATCCTATCTTTGACCGTCAATGGCATAAGCTTGGTATCAGTGTACAGTCAAGGATGATTTCTCTTTATGTGGACTGCAGCTTAATTGAACAACGGATGACTGAGGAAAAAGCTAGCCCTGACTTTCAAGGAAAGATTCTCATTGCTACCCATTATTTAGATGGAAAACCTGTAGATGTAAGTGTTCATGCCATGTTTTAATGAATTAAGTGGTTTATGCTGCTTTTATGGAAAAGGAATTTATAAGAGGGCAATATAAAAAAATAGAGAGAGAGAAAGAGAGAGAGAATGCTTCAATAACATCAAAATGGTGAGTTGGATAAAACTTGAATTACTTCTGCTTATGAATTGGATCAACTTTGTTGATGGGACACTTTTCTGGAAAAGGGAAAGTAATTAACTCTTATTTTTCCTTCTCCCTATAATTCCCTGCTCCCTAAAAAGTTGTTCTGGAAATCTCCAAAAATTATTGGAGGTGATTGGGACTGAAGGGGAGAACTGGGAATAAACCAAAATTGCCTCCTCATCTCTTCTTCAAGTAGAACCTTCTGTAGAAATAGCAGTGAATGCTATTCAGCAGAAAAAGCAGTGAGCCTTGCATCAATAAATCAGATCTGAATCCAGACATATATATTTTACATATGTTTAGAAAGCAGACATTTTGCAATTTTGATGGCCTGTGATCCTTAGAAATGAAGTCTCAATCCTAAAAGTACCATATTTTTCTACAGTGTTATCTCTTCTGTACTGCAGACATCAAACAAAGCTTTAAGTTTAATTTGAGGTATTCTGAAAATTACTTAAGTAGTAGGAATTAACTTATAATAAAGAGGATACAGTGGCACATTTAAGGATACACATCTGCTTTAGTACACATTCTATACTGTGCTAAAAGTGAAACATTTTTAAAAATTATCTTCATATATATATATATATATGTATAGAGAGAGAGAGAGAGAGAGAGAACTTTTATTAAGAATTTTAATTGCAATAATAAAAACTAATACAAACTAAACTTAGGGAAATAGAGGAGAATGGAAAGAAATAATAAAAAGTACAGGAAAAAAGAAAAAGAAAGTAAGAAGAAAAAGAAAAGAAATATATAAAGAAGTGACTTTCAACTTTCATCACAAGTATAAACAAATTTAATAACTCTTCACCCCTATAAGGTTAAACAAATATCTCTTCATCTCATATCCCATCCCTTATCTATAAGCAAATCCATAAAACATCAACTTTCAATCCTGGTGTCAGCAAAAAGTCCATAAAGGGTTGCCAGAACATTGCCAAAAAAAAAAAAAAAAGTCTTATTTTAAGCTTGATCAATAAACCAACTTTATATTCCTTCCTTTTACTTCTAACAGTCTTAAAGTTTAATTCAGTCAAATATTGTGGTAGGATTTGATTTCTCTTGAATTCTTCTTTATCCCATCACACAGATTTCTTGAAGGCTTTAACAAGCCTCTTTTGTAGATCAATAAGAAAACATTTCTAGGTCATTCTCTTGGTTTATCATTTGTATTTCTCTCTTAATTTTTAAAACTTCAGCCAGTTTCTTTTGTGTATCCAGTAAAGCATCCTTTTCCAAATCATTCTCTTGGCCATCATTTGTAGTTCCACTTTTGGTACTTTCTCTGTCTTGACAGATAAAATTTGTTCCACATCTGTCATTCCTTCATTAACATATTTTAGACATAGTCTATCCATAAAAGTGGACATCATTACTGGCAATACAACTGATATTGTAGTTGTTAATTTCTGGCTCCATTCTTCAAAAATCTCCTTTAATATTTCCAGTGTTATAATGTTTTGTGTCATTTTGTAAGTCCCAGTATTAACTGACATCAAGTACAGGCTTCTATTTTTTTTTTCCTTCTGCTTAGAATCTTTAGTCCCTTCTAGTGTCCACTCTGTAAAATCATCACTTATCTTTGTTATAACTTGCAATAGCCAGGATAGCCAAAATATGTGTTTCCCATGAGAAGTTGCTTATTTCTTATAATTAATTCCAAAAACTTATAGTAAAAGTCAATATTCCAAATTTGTCTGGACCCCTAGTCTTTTTACAACTTTCTTAAATCAAAATCTTATTTAGCTTTTTGCTGTTTCTTTCAAATTCTTTAAGTTCTTAAACTTATAATTCATTTTCCTTTTGTTCAGAATTGAAGATAAACCCACCCAATGAAGAGTTTTCAAACTTGTCATTCTGAAGGTCTGTAATAGTTTTGAGATGGTTAATAGGCAATTTCTGAAAGTGATTAGAAAGTGAGGTTTGTGGACAAGATGGCTGATCCCATTGTCTCCCGGTGCTCAAACTTGCAGTTTATGTTATGTAATGTTTTATGTGTCCACCAAAGTTCTGGAAAACATCAAAAGGGACTTGACCAACTGCTTTTTCATCACACTTTGATAACCTTGGCAATTGTGACTCTGCCTCACCCATCATGAGTATCTCCACCTTTTGAACTGCCCCAATCTACTCTCCATTTATCAGGGTCAAGGCTTCTACCTAAAGCCTGATTCCCTCTGCCTTCCAGCTTGGAGGATTTAGTTCTACAACTTCTCTGGAGTGAAGTAGATTGAATTATAAACTTTTCATTAGCTCCTTATAAAGTTTTCATTAGGGCTTCCTATGCAACCAAATAAAAAAAAATTTTTTGGATTTTCCTCACAGTAATTTAACCCCCTACAGTAATACATTTATAACATTTTGGCTTTTCTCCTCTACTTAAAACAGCAGCAAAACTTTTTTTCCTTTTAGGAAAGACGATTCTCTTTTTTTCCAGCCTTCTGATGAAGCATTTTGGAAAGAAGTAGCACATCTCTATCTTCCAGCTTCCCTCCTATTTCTGGCATAGATCCTCTCCCTTATTATCACTGTGTTAAGATCAAAACCCTTTGAGCCTATGGCTATTCCCCTAATTTATCTTTTTTCTTCGAAAGTAGCTTTTAGTGTCCATGACTTCAAATAATCAGGCTGGAGAACCATGTGTCTTACGAAAAGACTCTCCCTTCCTCCTTTTTTATAGGGACAAAGTGTTTTCCTGATCCAACCTCCTAAAGTTGGTTTCTACTCTTCACTTGAATTAGGATATAATATTGCTTATTTTTTTCCCCCAATTCCTCAGCTCCATTGGAAACATCTCTGCATTTATTTGATATCCATCATGACCTTGCTTTTTATCTGGACCATATGGCATTCTTCTGAGACTGTTATTTTTGTTTTCCCAAGGCCAATCTAAAGGCCATGGTTTTCTATTCAGCACTTTTCCAGATGGATAGTCTAATCGTAGGTTTTACTACAATCTGACCAAACAGCTGTGCCCTCTTCCAATCTGTGATTACTCCACAAGAGCACCAGCAGAATCAACAGCTTTCCTCCAGAGCATTCTGCTGCTGGAGCAGTGGTGAGCAGCTACTGTACATGGGTTCAGCCTTCAGCCCTCATCCAGCATTAAATCATCCTAGAAGGATGTGGCCTTTGGAAGGGTGTGGCATTTTTTGGTAAACTCTTGATGATTAGATCCTTGTCCAGGTATGAAGCTTGCTAGTCATCCATGTGTGAGAATCACCAAGATCACAATGAAGAAGAGGTAGTTATTTATCTGTAACTACATTTGTCATTTGTGAATTCACACAGCCCACTCTCCTACCTGACTTGGTCTCAGATGATATGTTCATCTCACTGAATTGGACTTGGGAAATGAAAGGGTTCAGTGGTAGCCAGATGGGGGTGAAAATCCCAACTGGGGCTCTGCACAGGTGTATCATGTGTGTATAAATTCATAGATGACTACTCAAAGAACTATAGATAGAGGTACATTACCAGTTTTATCTAATGTGTGTATTCTTGGTTAGAAAAAACATCTAATAGCTTATTGGATCATAAAATACCATATTTTGAAATAATTGTTTTGGCATTAATTTCTACGTAATTCATCTTTTTCAAAGAGTCATATCCTAATATACTTTTATATTCCTTAGAGTGATATTAAATTTTTCCCATATAAAAAAATCCGTAGACTTTGGAACAATATTACACCTAATATTAAAAGCACATCTTATATGAACCTCTGTTCCATTATTTATATATTATTATTATTTATAAAAGCTAAACAATTCTACCTATAGTTTTACTGTATAATATATATGACTCGTAAAGTTATGTTAAAAGGAAAGCCTTAAAATGCTGAAAGTATTTAACTGATGTAGTCTTAAGTTTTTCACGTGCACAGTGGCTGTGAGATAGACACAAGTGCTTTCCATATTAGTTGTTAGTATTTTTAAAGGAAATTGTGTTTTCTTCACAGGAAAATAGGTAGTGAGCAAACAGCTGCAGCACAACTAGTTTCATATATGATGGATGATTTAGTATTTTCTGTTTAATAACTTGGTAACCCGCTCATATACACCTTTCCAATATTGTCCATTTGGTTAACTTTCACAATAGTAATACATGGAAGAGAAATATAATTATAGCAATTTTATGCTACTATATATTTTTTCTTTCCTCGTTTTTTTATCGATGTGCCACTCTTCTCACTTAGTGCCTCTAGTTTTTGTCACATTTCCTTTATTTCTTAATCCTTTTCCTTTGTTCAAAGGTCATCACTGACTCTTCCATCTGGTTTCTTTTTCCAGAGATTAAATAATGTCTCACAGAACAATTGGCATGCAAAGTCTCTGCTGCAGCATCCAAATTCTTAGAGAGTATGCTGTGTATGAAAAAAGGATTCTCTTGGCTACAGTACTTTATTTCTTAGAATGAAAGCAGCTTAAAATATCATCTCTCCCCCCACCATCCCCCCAGATCAATTAATCCCAGGTACAGAAAATTCAAGATTTCTGCCTCCTACTAGATTGTGCAGATGATTCCGTGTAAGGCCCAATAATAATAATAAGAGCAGGTTGGGTACCTTCTTTTTTCAGTTTTCCGGCTGAAAATAGTGCTTCAGGTAGGAAAAATCAAATGAATAGGGTACAGTGTTGGGAAGCCTGGTTTGGTGGCAGGCCATGTGAAAAAGATCTAGGAGACTAGTGGATTACTAGATGAATGCAGGCAAGTAGTTAAAAAGGCCAAGACAAACAGGCTACTTTAGCCGCAGGAGGCAATAGTTTCATTGTACTCTATGCTGGCTCAACCACACCTGGAATATTGTGTCCAGTACTGGCCACTGCACTTTAAAGGGGACAAGGAGATGCTTGAACAGAAGTAGAAGAGAGCCGCAAAAATAATAAGGGGTCTGGAAATGAAGCTTTGAAAGGAACATTGGAAGGAGATGAGTATGTTTTGCTTGCGAAAGGGAAGACTAAAGGGATACATGACAGCAATCTCCATCTGTGTAAAAGGCTGACGTGTACAAAAGAAGGCAGACTTATTTCAATGTTGAAACCAAAGGCAGAACAAGGACCAACTGGCTGAAATTAAAGAAAGAAGTATCAGGCTAAATATCAAGAGGAATTTCCTTATGGTAACAGCAGAGGACCAGTCTACTTTGAACAATAGTAGAACACTTCCCTTGCTGGAGACCTTCCAACAGGCTGGGCAGCCACCTGTTGGGAATGGGTTAATAAAGTCTGTGCATAAGCAGGGTGTTGGACTACATGATGTATAAGGTCCCTTTCAATTCATACATTTGATGATACAATGATTCTTGATAAAAAATACGCTTTCATATGGATTGTTGCTCTTTTCTATGGGGTGTGTGTGTGTGTGCATATTTTTGTGTCTCCTTTTTTTTTATCAGTGTCAGGTGATCATGCTAATAAAGATCTCCATAGCAAACAGGGATATGTCAGTGCTATGTAGCCAATTGTATTGGACTATGGGATGGCATCATTGAAGGCAAATTAAATCAGTTCAGCATCAATTGATATATACTTCCTGAATATGGGTGAACCAGCCAACTGAAGTCATGGAGTGACTGGGAGGATGCTACAAATCTACATAGTAAATCAGACTGCATTGATAAATTACAGAGGACAAGCAAAACCAATTGAAAGAGGGCATGTGAAGAGAGCTTAAAGAGGGTTATAGAGAGAGATATTTTTGAATAAACCTGCAACTCTATAGGGTCCTCAAGTTAGAATTAATTAGAATTCTACAGATGTTTGTGGAAAGAGAGAGGGAGAGAGGATTCAGTCCACAACATGTGCAGTACTGAGATTTGTCTGAGATCCCCAACTTCGGCAAACATGCTTTTACCAAAGTTCCAGGAATATTGTGCCTTGCTCTTCTCCCCCTTCCTGCAGTGCTTCCGTAGTTGCAGCAGAATGGTTTCAGCTGGTCTTCTGTCAAAAGCTGCAAGACTAGTTGCTGTATGTCCTAGCTGGGACTATTTCATGGCTGGGGAGCAATATGCAATCATGCTGGCTCATGAGGCCAGCCTCTTTGACTTCAGTGATGCTGCTGTAACAACCAAGAGCAAGGCTTTAAATTAAAAACTTTAATCTGTTATTCCTAGGGTTATTTACAGTGATAAATTAATAATAGAGCTAGCAGAATTTGTCTAAAACTCTCGTTTTATTGACTTAAGGTAGCGTAGTTTGGAGAGAGGTAATTCCCATCTGTAAAAATAAATCCTTCAAATGGCCAGAGAGTTGACCAAAGGAATGTATCAAACTGCAATGACTGTTGTAGTCCTAAATCCAGCTGCTTTTATAAAAAGATATGGAGAAGTGCTATGTTGGGTTCAAATTCGATTTGGTATGATTGGATTAGAATCTGTGAGTTGCTCAGATAGCTAATATAATAAATGCAAATGCAGTATTTTAAAATGTCAAACTTTATTGTGTTTTAAAAGTTCGTGGCCAAAATCCAAAACTCTGTTGGGGATATTTAAGCCCATTCATTTCAGTGGGCTCAAATTATTTAATGGTGTGGTGGATTTCAGCCACAGAGGCTTCAGTGTTGTTACTTCCCAGCTGATAAGCATCATCATGTTTACTAAACAGATAGAACTTGGCCGCATGATCTTACACTGCAATCCGAGCCTTGCTTCTCAGGAGAACTGTTGCGAATTATCTGAGCATGTGGTAAGTTGAGAAAATAAAAATGTAAATATTCTCTTTCAGAACAATAATTTTCTTCTACTCCATTTTAGCAACGTAACAAAGCTGCATGGCATTATTCGCATGGCCTATCCTTTGAAACAACATTTTTGTTTTGATCCTTAAATTTTTATTCATTTAGAAAATCTATATTCTACCCAGCCCCTTAATGGTTCTTGGAACTTATGCAGCACAGTAAAATACCCATTTAAAAAATAAATATAAGAGATATAAAACACAAGTTAAACAAGAGTATTTTAAAAAATCGGGGGGGGGGGGAAATGATAGAGCTCCTTCCTAAACTCTAGTAAGGAATCTTGAATTTCATCTACCTCTCAAGTAATAAGGGAAACATGTTCAAATAACCATAACAGAGGGGCATCAGTATCATGGGGAAAGTGTCTGCACTGGAGCTGCTATTGTTTCTGAGGCACTGCTCTATTCGTATATGCTTCAAGCATTTTTCTTGTACCATAGTGCACTCTACATTATGAACTAAGGGTTACGTAAGTATAAAGTAGGGGCTATTTAAAATAATAACAGCATTTTCTGTAATTCCCTAACATTATTATTTCCAGATTTTCAGTTCAGATTACTTAACCTGTCAACACAGGTTATTTTTAATTTTTTTCATCATGAAATGTAGTCTCTGCAGATGCAGAAGATACTATAGATAATAGCATTGGATCTTGATGAATAGTCTTCAATCCAGATAATACGTATTCATAATTTCAGCAACCTTTGGAGAAAAGCTTGAAAACTACTGCAGCATCACCATCAATTGGTCACATTGGTGAAATACATGCGCTTCCAATAATGGAAAAAAACTCTGGAGAAAAATGTTTTTGCTCTCAGAACAAGGTAGAACCCTAATTCATTATATTTTTTTCCATGTGTGATCTATTAAATGTGTACTTCTTTGAACAGATTTAACCTTTTACTTGAACTTTTGTACTGTTGTTCTTTTTTCATATAATATTGAATATTAAAGAAAGTTATACAGTATTTTGTTCTATTATGGTCTTCTTAGTGGCAGGCCACAATTCTCATAATCTGAAGCACTCATCATCGATGGCCATGTTGCCTAGAAATGATCATTATTATTTGACATGATTAGGGACCTGGCTGTATTTTGCCAAGTTTGGGAAAAGCTTTTCTATAAACTGATTGATGCACATGAGAGGCAAAATATGGACAGTGATTATATAGAGTCATATGTTGTACTGCAAAGAGGATGACAATTTGTGTTAAAATAGTAGAGAGTTACCTCAGATCTGTGTTTTCAGTGAAATCATTTTAATTGTAAAAACTCATATGCTGTTACCCCTTAACTTAACAAGGATGGCACCAACTAGAAAGCTAACAACTTAGAAGTCTACTATAATAAAGTCTCCTATGACAACCACTTCAAACTGATTGAAGAAATATTTCTCCAAGATATGGTACAATGATGAAATATCCAAACAGTATGAATGATTGTTTACAGAAGTAGCTACCATATTTTTCTATTTTCATTATAATTCTGAGGCTGGTTGCTGCACCTATTGTCATTAGT